CAAAATAACAGGTAGTTACTTACATACAACTAAGACCTAATTCAATTCAAAATACAGGTGTTACTACATCAACTAAGACCTAATTCAATTCAAAATACAGGTGTTACTACATCAACTAAGACCTAATTCAATTCAAAATACAGGTGTTACTACATACGTTTTCTAAACTGGAACAAAACCTTCGCGCAATATTTCGCACGACAGCTACCAGATGATGGCCACTGAAGTAGTGGAAGGATTGTTATAAAAGTTAAAAGAAAAATCCATTCAGAAAACGGTCTCTGGACTTTTATTTGTCAGGCTTTATTCATTTTAAATGAACTATAGAATTGTGAAATTATCACGCGCAGATGGTTGTTTTAACGTTCATAATTCTACTATATAACATGCTACTCTTTTTTAACAACGAACAGTTGGTCTGATCGTTACTTATAACGCCCCCACAGCTGAAAGGCCATGCCAAGCACATACCCCCCCCAGTGCCACAGCGGGAATTCTGTACGATTATAACACTATAAACCGAGTTTTGATACTCGTGATGAGTGGAACACAGATAATCTTTGAGTTTAACAACAAACAAACAAATCTTTTTGGCAAGTAAAGTATAGAAACGTACTGGTATAAATATACGACAATAAACGTTTTGTACAGTGTAGAAACGTCCTGGTATAAATATATATATACGACAATAAACGTTTTGTTCAGTGTAGAAACGTCCCGTATATTTATACCAACAATAAACATTTTGCACATCTTGTTTATTTTAAGAATATCATTAGGTCCATATATCTGTAACCAATCGCACTGGAAGACCGTAATTAATAAATTCCTCCCTGTACATCACACATTTTGTTAATACACTTAAGGTAAACAGGAAAGCCACACTAAGCCATTAGTAGCCACATCTGTACTTGTGTTACTGCAACGTGTCCAATAGTACGTCAGTTTTCTCGCCCAAACTGGTTGTGGTCTTTGGTGTACACCAACGCACACGAAATAGTTCACCCACTTCAATGACTACAATAGTTGGCTGGCGTCCAAATCAAGAAGGATGTTAGAATACTTACACGGACTAAATAACTCTTCATGAGCTAAAAAAATACACAAAAATAATTAACGGCAAAGTACAGCAACCTGCTGTATAAATGCTGTAGTTCGTAAATGCAAATTTTACATTTTTGTAAGTCACCACGACATGACCTTGTTATATCGTTTACAGGACAAACGTGAATATATGCAATGTTGCGATATTATAGTGTTTAAATATAACATTGGTGATAGGTCATATGAACATCACATTTCAAATAGGTCATACTTATTTCAGCTATTAAATTATTATTTTTTTTATCATTTAAGAATAACCCGTATTTCTGTGTGTAGGATTACAGAAACTAAGAGCGAATTAAACTTTTTTTTTTTTTTTTAGTCTATGTGTACATATATGACGATTGTACATGTGATCTGAAGTCAGTGGTCAGCTAAGTGTTTCAGTGATAAGACTTACTGCAGAAAAACTACCAACGTCATTACGTCGGCGATCGTACGTCTGCGCAAACTTAGAGAGTAGAATTTGGCAGCATATATCATTGTCACTGGAGCGTTTGGCAAATTGCCAATACGCCCGAGACGTAAATTGGAACTCAGAAAAGTAATAAAATGTGAAGGATGACGCACGTAAAACCAAGGCGACAAATACCGGTTTGTAGTCACGTGGTAGACTTGGTGTAAAATTCAACCAGCTAGTGAGAACAGATGCTATAGCTATAGACTAGATTAGCGTTTCCCAAACTTTTTTGGCCACGGAACACTTTTCAGCCGAGAAAAAGCTTACGGAACACTACACACGTGAAATATCTACGTAGAGGGTATGTTGCGCCCTCTAGATTTGTATATTATTCATTTAGTTATTTAATCAAGTTACATATTAATGAATTTTTATGCTTATAATATATTTTAGGTACAAACGTCTCCACTAAGATATTATGTAGAACAGATATGACATCTTCTATAATTCTTCTTCAATGTGAAATTGATTATTACCTAATTCTAATACATAGGAAAATATTTCATAATAAGTTATGATCGTACAAAAAGTGTTAAATATTTGGCTAAAATTTAAAATCGTGATTTTCTCACGAAGCACCTATCAATCTCGGACGGAACATAGTTTGAGAAACGCTGGCTTAGATAGATAGCCTTATGTGGACCAACGTTTCTGGTAAAAAATGACGTAATGTTGTTGTATATATGAAACTGTTTATTACACGAGATACTAAAATAGATTGCCTGAAATATTAACTGAAAAAAAATTTTCTTGATCGAAAAACAATATCCATCAGTATTACAATTTGGTTTTTTCACTGGTGTATTGTCGTACGTTTTATATGAAAATGTGTATAATGTTATAATAATGATAGATATGGTGCATTATATTATAATAATATGTCAACTCGTACAACGTTTAAGGATACAGTATATATGAAGTAACACTGTTACTGTTATGCAGTATACGGGGCCGCACTGTATATAAGGATACAGTATATATGAAGTAACACTGTTACTGTTATGCAGTATACGGGGCCGCACTGTATATATGAAGTAACACTGTTACTGTCATGCAGTATACGGGGCCGCACTGTATATATGAAGTAACACTGTTACTGTTATGCAGTATACGGGGCCGCACTGTATATATGAAGTAACACCGTTACTGTTATGCAGTATACGAGGCCGCACTGTATATAAAGATACAGTATATATGAAGTAACGTTGTATATTAAATCTTGCAGTCGGTTGATTAGATAATCCTTAATCAAGGTTTACTTCCTGTGCTTCGTAGCTCTCTTACTTAGAAATTACAGATATTGGTTTAGTAGGAACTAAGGTTCTGAGAAAAGAAACGGAAGGAAACGAGACAATGTAGGAACAGATGATACGCGCTTTACAATATTTACACTTTTGTTAGGTTATTGACCATTAAAGTACACATTTCTTCCAAACTAATTTTCGTGTCAACTCGCACACTTAAGTTATGTTTTTTTTTGTTGTTTTGTTCACTGCTTCTATCTTCGTGTTTGCACATGATAAACATAATATATTTGTTATTGTCAGAATTAGTTTCAAGGAATGTTCTTGCAACGACACTGGCCGGAAGTGATGAAAAATTTTCCCGCCTTCTGCAATAACAGAAATACTTTAACCTATTCAGGTTTTTACAGAATATATTTTGATTAGTGAAAAAACAAGTTATTTTTATTAAGAAATATCCTCGAGTCTTTGAGAAAATAAGAAGGAATCCTCAATAGCCGCGGCACTTGAAATTATTTTAGGCAGGATTAACGTAAATTAATCTACGAGATCTCCCCCCCCCCTTCTATTAGCCATATTTTGTATGCCAGTAATACCAAACGTGGGGCGCGCGTATACCAAGTTCGATTTTTTTACTCATCATGATCTCTATGAGCCTACCCTCAAATTGAAATTCCTTTAGGCAGGATTAGAGTAAATAAACCTAGTACAAGACCTTGGGCGTGGTTAAATACATCAATCGAAAAGGTTTGACTTCCCGAGTCGAAATTAGATGTTCCTTATAACTTATGCATTTTACTGTGGTGACAGAAGTAAAAAAAAATCGTACAGAGTGGTGACTGGAGTATGATGAAGAAACGACAATCAACTCCAGGAAAAGATCATCTCTACTTTGTTTCTACAACTTTTTTCATAGGTGATCTTCTTTCTAGCAGTCTAAGTAGAAGGTCGTTTCTAAAAGTCGTCAAAACAAAGCGTTGGGTGAAATAAATATAACCTTATTCTGAAGTTTACGGTCGTTTAAACAAATTACAAAAAAAAAAAAATACTGAGTTAGTCTCGAAATACAGCTTAGGTTTCTAACTGATCGTAGATAGCTGAAAGTGAACACGTTCTGTATTTGGTGTAGAAGTTTGTTGATTATTTTCAATTAAACATAAGCATTCTATTAACATCTACTGTCAACACTAAGTTAATTTATTGTATCATCCTGATAAAAGTATTGATTCACTTTAAACGTAACAAAAAACTCGAGTTTACAGTAGTTTAGAAAGTATAATTAAACTAAGTTATACATAAGAAGGAATTAAAAACGTCTGTTTGTAACTTACCACACGAGACTTGATTAACTTCATTCTGAGGTTTGTACTTTTTGTAGACGAGCACGCCTGCGCGCTTACTAACTAAACTTTTCAATTCTATGAGTACAGTGGCATTTATTTACCGAATGGACTTAACTGGATAGTAATGAAGATTACGTCAGCCAATCAGAAAGTAGCTCTTTGTATGTTATTGATGCTATTCGTCTGATTGGTAGGGGCATATCATAATCTTTGTCCGCGCTTACATCACACGCTCTGGCTTATGTAGACTCAACAACCTTGGTCAGAACACATTTACTAAGGAATCCATTTATTGAGTAACGAAGCTGGCGATTAAATCAGTTACATAAAATGTTATTTAACAATGACTTTGACAGTCTACCCCAGTGTCCCCTCAACCTGGAATCTAGGTGCTATTTACATTCCCAAGGATGAAAAAATACAAGATACAAAATATATATACCCTGCTCACGGAGAAACGATTGTTTATTTGTTTGTTTTAGCACAAAGCCACATTGCGGTATCTTGTTGGGTTCACCTCGAGGAATCGAGCCCCGGATCCTAGCGTTGTAAGCCCGCAAACGTAAAGTTGTGTCACCTGTGGATACGGTGAAACGAAGATATTAAACCTACATAACTCAACTTTTTAAAATGTTATTATGTGGCTTACACAACGCTGAATTTGAAGAATGCAATGGATTCGTCGTTAGGGATTTTCGAAAATGTTGTTCTCAGGTCTTTTAGCATATTTTTTTTTTATTCATACGGATAAGAAAGCTACTGCCAAACACGTTACAACTCTTATGCCTGTTCATCATTACAATTTAAAATTGGTTGATTGATGGACCCCCCTTTGAGCAAATAGTATCGTCTGGTGCTTAAACAATTCACGTAACGATCGACAGTGAAGAAAAAACTGGTAATATTTTATAATGCATATTATAAATAAAATATTCAGTTTTAAAGAATACAAAATTTAACAGATGTAAGACAATATATAACTATTCACAAGTGTTATCTACACCACCTTATGTTCCAACCAAACGTACCTCTTCACAAGTGTTATCAACACCACCTTATGTTCCAACCAAACGTACCTCTTCACAAGTGTTATCAACACCACATTATGTTCCAACCAAACGTACCTCTTCACAAGTGTTATCTACACCACCTTGTGTTCAACAAAACATAACACTTCAGGAGTTATCTACACCACCTTATGTTCCAACAAAACATAACTCTTCAGAGGTTATCTACACCACCTTATGTTTCAACAAAACATAACTCTTCAGGTGTTATATACACCACCTTATGTTCCAACAAAACATAACTCTTCAGGAGTTATCTACACCACCTTATGTTCCAACAAAACACAACACTTCAGGAGTTATCTACACCACCTTAAGTTCCAACAAAACATAACTCTTCAGGAGTTATTTACACCACCTTAAGTTTAACAAAACGTAACTCTTCAGGTGTTATCTACACCACCTTATGTTCAACAAAACGTAACAGTTCCGGAATTATCTACACCACCTTAAGTTCCAACAAAACATAACTCTTCAGGAGTTATCTACACCACCTTGTTTAACAAAACGTAACACTTCAGGAGTTATCTACACCACCTTATGTTCAACAAAACGTAACTCTTCAGGAGTTATCTACACCACCTTATGTTCAACAAAACGTAACACTTCCGGAGTTATCTACACCACCTTATGTTCAACAAAACATAACACTTCCGGAGTTATCTACACCACCTTAAGTTCCAACAAAACATAACTCTTCAGGAGTTATCTACACCACCTTGTGTTCAACAAAACATAACTCTTCAGGAGTTATCTACACCACCTTAAGTTCCAACAAAACATAACTCTTCAGGAGTTATCTACACCACCTTGTGTTCAACAAAACGTAACACTTCCGGAGTTATCTATACCACCTTATGTTTCAACAAAACGTAACACTTCAGGAGTTATCTACACCACCTTATGTTCCAACAAAACATAACTCTTCAGGAGTTATCTACACTACCTGAAGTTCAACAAAACATAAAACTTCAGGAGTTATCTACACCAACAAAACATAAAACTTCAGGAGTTATCTACACCACCTTATGTTCAACAAAACATAACTCTTCAGGAGTTATCTACACCACCTTATGTTCAACAAAACATAACTCTTCAGGAGTTATCTACACCACCTTGTGTTCAACAAAACGTAACACTTCAGGAGTTATCTACACCACCTTATGTTCAACAAAACATAACTCTTCAGGAGTTATCTACACCACCTTGTGTTCAACAAAACGTAACACTTCAGGAGTTATCTACACTACCTTATGTTCAACAAAACGTAACTCTTCAGGAGTTATCTACACGACCTTGTGTTCAACAAAACATAAATCTTTACCATAGTTACGACATACATTTTTAGTGTTCCTGAAAGAGAATGCCGGGCAGCAGCAGGAAAGTACAGTTTGTTGCCTGAGTTACACTTACGACAGAAAAGAGGTCTGTTTTCTGAGTCAAGGACATGAAGCATAGTTAATGGCGCCTAGTTAAGGGTGGGGTTGGCGAGACAGAGAGAAATATATACATTCTCAGTGACCGAGTAGACCCCTGGAGGAAAGAGGCTATCTAGTTGATTTGTTTCAGAGTAAAGCCACGTTGGGTTATCTGCTGTGTCCACCAGGGGAAACAGAACAACGGGTTTTAGCGTTTATTGCTGTCCCACCCGGGGGACAAGGATACTGTGATTCGCAGTCCGAGCACGCTAACCACGCCTGGCTTCCGTAGAAGTAGTGTTTTCTACATCAACTTAAATTACAACTATATATTTCAGATCCAATTTTTTCTATCACTATACAAGTTTAGTTTCTTTTTCTAACTAAGCCTATTAACATAAATCAGCTGGATTTAATTAATATAGAACCTTATAAATCAAATGTTGACATCCAAATGTAATTTTTTTTTTAATGCGAGTGAATTTTATATTAAAATTCAAGTTTAGATGCTACAAATGACAGTGCACTGTTTTTGTTTTATTAGCGGGACGGAAAAGACAATCCGCTTGTGATATTTTAAGAAGTGAAACGTGTATATCAATTCATATATATATACACGCACAAATAATTCATATCATATTTGGCTGATATTTTCATTTCAATAAAAAGGGGCCTGGCATAATTCAGTGGTTAAGTCACTCGACTCGCAATCTGTGGATCGCTAGTTCGAATCCCGTCAGCAAACATGCTCACCCTGTCAGCTTTGGGGCATTATAATGTTAAGATCAATCTTACTATTCGTTGGTAAAGAGTAGAGCCCCAATGTTGGCGGTGGGTGGTGTTGACTAGCTGCCTTCCCTCTAGTCTATCACTTCAAAAGTTAGCGCAGATAGCCTTCGAGTAGCTTTGTGCGAAATTTATAAACAAATAAATAAACTTACCACAAAAGTAAAAACTAAAACATATATTTGTAATTTCTAGGTTAAACCAAATCAGTAAGATGTGACTGAAAAGTATCAGTGATACAACACCGTGGACGGAGCTGATACAGTAGGTTACCGGATTTTTCGGTGTATAAGACGCACTT